CGTTTCGTGGGACCGACCAAAGTCATGTTGAAAAGCTCAGAAGAGATTTGTAAACCCCTGCCGGCCACTGTATTACATTGTTACTGCCCTGGGTGGGGGGGGGGGGGGGGGGGTACTGCCTTATATATGCCATACACTGTATGTGCCGCCCCAAACCGGCCTGGTTTTTGCGCCGTTTGGGTCTGAAAACGGGTATAGACCTCGTCCATTTTGGTCTGAAATCGGGTATGATTCTCGAGGGAACTACGGGAGTCTATGAACATATATATTTATCGTTTCAATTCCGAACGAGTGATTTTTTTTGTTGCTGTTCTAATCTAAGTAATCACTAATGATGACACAAATTCTTTGAGGAAAGATCTGAAAACGGGTATGGAATTTAAGAGGCCAGGTCGGAAAACGAATATAAAAAATGACATTTTTTGGCCTAAAATAGAGTAAGGATTTAGAGCATGAACCGTGCAACACACCCCTACCAAGAATGTCCGGCAGTACCCCCCGGGCGTTACTGATGTGGGGGTTGAAAACAGTATATAAATAATAGGCAAGCAAATGCTGATGTCTACCATTACACTGTTATTGTTGCAGCTCAAATCTCGATGTTATATAATTACTTGATGTTTGTGTAGGGTAGTCTCTTGTCTTTGGAGGGCACCGTAGTCTGCTACACAGCCGTTTTTTATGTCGTCACGCAACGCTCCGAGGAGCGTTGCGTGACGACACTAAAAACGGCTGTGTATCAAACCAATAAGCGCCTTGGGCTTCACCGAGAATACGTCTCTAAATAGACTGAAAACTTTGAAATCCATATCAAATAACTCAGGTTTGTTATTTGTGAGTAATCTAGATTAATCTCGTCCATCCTAAATCAGCTTTATTCCATGGTCAGAGAGTGAGGTCCTATCAGTGCCCTATACTCGGGAGGCTCCGCCTGTAAAAGGTAACTGCACTCAGGCTTCATGGGTCCCTCATGTCACGACAGGATAGGGATTTCACGAGTTAAAGTACAGTGTATAAAAGGGTTAAGAAGAAACTGTTATTTCGGTATTAAAAAGACTTTCAACTTAAGTATTTGGAGCATCTTGCGGCTTTGGAAACTACAAACTTCTTGTTTTAGCGGTTTATTCATGCTATCAAGAATGGCCAATTACTCCGGTTGCAGTGAAAGGGATGCTGTGTTCTTTTGTAGGGTATCAACCTCTAAATCGGGGTTGATCAACCTTGTCTCCTTCCCTCGAAGCCCTGGGGACACTGCTTGTGTACGGACGCTCCCCTCACCTCAAAAAAAATCGGGAAGAGAGAGTCTTTAGTAGCCTCAGGTTTTCCTGAGGGAAGCGGGAGGGGGGGAAGGGGGCGCTGTACACAGGCTAACTCTTTAGACTCTCTTCCCGACTTTTTCTGAGGGGAGGGGGGCGTCTGTACACAGACTTTGGGGACGAGATTGTTAGGGCATGCCGTGTAAGATTCGTCAATGGAACTGTTTTGATTTTTGGTTCATATCGTTTCATAGTTGTGATACAAAAAAAGTAGAATACAGTGACGGTTTGTTACGACTTTTGTTCACAATTCATATATGTTTTTGTTAAGGAAATGTTCTTGCTATTAAGGCGGAATTAAGCGGTCTAGGCTGGGGCTTAAACCTATGTTTCCGGCCGCTTTCTTTCTATTTTTAGGAATGAAACCAAGTATTAAACCTTCAACATAACTTTAAAAGATGCTTTAAAGGTTTTCGATAAAACGGAACATGTATGGGACGCACACTGATTGTTTTTTTTTTTTTTTTTTTCACAAACCGGCACTGGGGCCGTTAATGTACATTCCGTCACATACAACTAGATAATAGTATTGAACCTTTTCTACGTCGGTTTCCTTAACGGAGGGAGTTGAAAGCATTTTTTTAAAATAAAGTAACACAAAACATCGTTCTAGCTAGCCTGCGTAGAAGGCGTTTGGAAGTGCGAACAGAGTTCTTGCGCCCGTTCTTTCTTGCGCCCACTTCTACGCTCTAGCTAGATCGGATCAAGGTTTCACGTGGTAGTTGTTGTTAAATCCGTATGCGGCGTGACCCTTTTAGCTATAGCCTTGGAGGTAGTTTGAATCGTGTCATACGCTTTGAATAAGGAAGTAGAATCCGTCTCACATGACTGAAAATAAAGCCAAAAAAAAAAAGAATAATGTAAGAAAGGTAAAAAAGAGAAGAATAATCGAGTGGAACCGTAAAGAAAAAAAATTCAGTGATGTTGGAGTCTTTCAGACAACAATATCATCGTCATTACTGGGCTGGTCAGCTTTTCATTAAATTTTACTGGGAACTCGTACCCTAGTACAAAAGTGCACATATATCTTGGAAAAAAACAGATTTAGCATGTAGTTTAGATGAAACGGATAAATATGGACTGACGAAAGATCGTTCCAGTTATTTAAACAACTTTCACCACTTCGGACCACTTGGGCAATGTTGAAATTCGATATAATTTCTAAATTTTGAAAACCTTATAGAACTATTTATACACATGAATTGTACTAACACCAAAGAATTTCATCCACAGACTCAAAAGTCATAAGACTCCATAATTCAATATGGTAACGATGAAGGCTTAACAGTTGCGGAGCTTAAAAAGAACAACATCATAATAATAATCATGATAATAATATTAATGATAAAAATAACATAATAATGATGATGATGATAATGATAATAATAGTAGTAATAATAATTAATAATGATAATAATGATAGTGGGTCTTAACATTTCGGTTCAGGCTTTGTTTTTCGACTCTTAGGTCTGTTGATCATATAACCGCGACGGAAGTTCAAACTGTAGAAACAAGATTTTTTTCATCTCGGCCAGTAAAACATCGGAGAGTGTGGAGCACCAGCCGTAATAAGATGTGAAACGCAAGGGAAAATCGTCAAATACTGCAATACCGCGAAGAAAATCGACTTAAAGGCAAAAAAAACCTCATCCTGCAAGTTGGAAGGAACGCCAGCAATATTGCACTCAGTTCATAAAAATTGACCAAGAACAATTTTACGCGTATCAGGAGCCGATTAGTAATCGGCTCCCGGCGCATCAGTTCTTGTAAAAGGATTCTCCCGGAGCCCATGCCTGGTTTCACAAATTCATCAGTTTATTGGAGTTTAGCCTCGTCTGTGGCGCAGGGTAATCCAAAATATGCTGGAAAATATAGATTGGCTTTGTTTGTCAGACGTGTTTGCATGAGGTGCCTCACAGGGCTCCGAGAAGGGTCTACTCAATACATGTATCACGGAAATAAGATATAATCAATATAATTATTTTTTAATACAAGTGGATCAATACCAGTGCTGTTCAGTGCTGTTTCTCACGTGATAAATCTACCGAATGTTCTGTGCCTTAATCCTAACGGATGGGCGCCGTGAAACTTCTTCAGCCACGTATTCAATACCGTTCCTGTGACTTTTAACCAACGGAAATTCCACTCAGTAGCCGCAAGACAAGGAAGCGGTAAGACTCAGAATTTGTTTTTGAGCAGCTCCTTGCCTTTTTCTTCTGTTTTGGTTAGAAAAAGGAAAAGATGCTAATTCATGAAACTTATATTGGGCGATAATGGCCATGGCTGTCCGTTTCTCATTATTTCATATCCTACGTGCTGCCACGTGATTTGCAGCCCCCTTCATCGAGCCTCTACAAGGTCACGTCGTATATCACTTTTGCGAACTCCACCCCCACTGTCTTCTGCATAGTTAAATTATGCTAGCGCAACAATTTTTAGCGGTATCAGTCTATAAAGTATATCAGCACGTCATTGGAAGATGAACTGATACGAGAAATAGGGAGTTCAGTTCCGATTTAGCATGCAGACACCATATATCAACTATTTTAGCTATTTTTGCATCTAAAGTGGCTTCTGATATTTTAAGCCCCTCTTAACAAGTGTTTATCACTTCAGAAGCGCTGTTGTTGCTTCCTGCCCTGTATTAGTCCAGCTAAAGAGACTGAATTTACTCGTCGAGTCATTCTATCTCAGTTGTCCTATTCACAATTGGTAGCCGAAGTGGGTGCACCTTTGAAACTACAGTTAATCAAAATTTAATCACTATTTCTGTAAACTAAACTTTGTGGAATCAGAACCACTTATACATGTATTTTATTTGATTACAATAAAAAAAAACCTTCATGTCACTATGTAACTACACTAACGCCTCACTCACAAAAATTCGGAGTTACTAATTATAAATCCGAACTGAATAGTATGATGAAAATAATAATACAAAAAAGATGCTTTACGATGTTTTATCAAAATTTTGATCGACCTCCTGTCTATTCAGGCTGACGAAAATTTTTAAAACAAAACGAAACAGACAAACAATTATTTTCACCTACCTGAAAATATTAGATTTAAGACATTTATGCTGGCTCATTGAGTGGACTGGTTTACTGAAGGCGTTTGAATTAGTCGCTAATGTCATGACTGCGGCAAAACAATCAGTCATCAGTTCAGATTGGTCCCAGTTATTGTAAAGGGAAACAAAACTATAAAACCAAAACGACTTGAAAGAGAAAAGACCAAAGACTCGTCAACTGTTGACTAGAAAGTTCTAAAGCGTTTTCTGTCTTGTTTTCCTTTTAGAGAATTAAAGCAATTTCATTCTATATAAAAGCAGCTTAAAATTGAAATTATAATTAGACATTCTCCAGCTGCCCACCACCCTGCTGATACCAATTATTTTATTGTTTTTTAACAAGGCAAAACGAATCAAATTCCAAATCTGCGGGTATTAAAATAGAGATTAAAGCTCCATTTTTATCCAACACCAAATCAACACTTCCTTCGCTTTACGAACATTGAAAGAACAAAGGGGCATTAACTAAGACACCTTCTTGTTTCTAATAGCCTTGCCAGAGCACTATTAGCCGTGGTTTTCGTAATTCACCTATATTATAATTTTCTTGCTACAATCCTCTCTAAATGCTTAATGCTTACACGAAACTGCCAAGTATTCGTGATCACAGCACTATGAAAACTTCGAAAAGAGCCAGCTCGATTTTTGAGATTTCTGGAATAGGCCAGGCACCGAGCAAAGATTTTTTCTCTTTAACCGTCGTTAACAACTCTATTATTTGGCGCACTTGGAGAATATCATTGCGCAACGAGAAGACGTCTCCGAGTGAAACAGTTCAATCGTGGCAAGAATTCACTGATACCTCAAATGGTGTAAGGCTGCAAGGAGAGATTCGACGAGTGTTTGGAAATGACATACTTTCC